TGTCCAACTTCTCCTCTCCTCTCCTCTCCTCTCCTCCTCCTCTCCTCTCCTCTCCTCTCCTCTCCTCTCCCTCTCCCTCCTCTCCTCTCCTCTCCTCTCCTCTCCTCTCCTCTCCTCTCCTCTCCTCTCCTCTCCTCTCCTCTCCTCTCCTCTCCTCTCCTCTCCCCCTCCTCTCCTCTCCTCTCCTTCCTTCCTCTCCTCTCCTCTCCTCTCCTCTCCTCTCCTCTCCTCTCCTCTCCTCTCCTCTCCTCTCCTCTCCTCTCCTCTCCTCTCCTCTCCTCTCCTCTCCTCTCCTCTCCTCTCCTCTCCTCTCCTCTCCTCTCCTCTCCTCTCCTCTCCTCTCCTCTCCTCTCCTCTCCTCCTCTCCTCTCCTCCCTCCCCTCTCCTCCCCTCTCCTCTCCTCCCCTCCCCTCTCCTCCCCTCTCCTCTCCTCTTCTCGAGTCTCCTCTCCTGAGTCTCCTCTCCTCTCCTGTCCTTGAGTCTCCTTGAGTCTCCTTGAGTCTCCTCTTCTTTCCTTGAGTATCCTCTCCTTGAGTCTCCTTGAGTCTCCTCTGTCTCCTCTCCTTGAGTCTCCTCTCCTCCTCCTCATTTTTCTGCGTCATACATACAATCCCTTTGCAGAAATGACCTTTACAATTCAGCTCACAGAAAATCAAGTTTCATTCTTTAGAAATATACCCAATGAAAGTTAGTGAAAAAATAAAACTTAGAGGAGGATACCCCTGGACCTTGCTACAAATGCTAAATACCACTTTTACCACAAGCTACACTAACTTAATATTGTATTATGCTATCAAAATATTCAGTGTATTTTTAGGAATCTATTGTAAAGAATTCCACCAAGGGCTCTTAATGTTCTTTTGTTTGGCAAGTGACATTACCTCCTTCCATGGTTAAGACAGCAAATTACCAGACACCTTAAAGAATGTAATAGTCTAGCCAAACCTAGGAAATAAAAAACAAAACTCTTTTAACACCAGCAGCCTAGCTGACTACCACTCAGTTTCCAACCTCCTCTTCCTTGCCAATGTCTTTGTGAAGATAGTGGCATCCAAGCACTAACAGCACCTAAGCCTTGCCAACAACCTGGCTCCTTGATATACAGGCATCAGACCAAAGGTTGATTAAAAAACCCAAAACTTTCTGGCATTGCCAGTCCATGTGCTCTTGGCTTGGGACAGAAAACAAACCTCAGAGTGGATATCCTCTGGGACTTTGGCAGAAGTGACTGCCTGGTTTCAGTAATAATACTGATGTGATGTTTAGTAAGAGCAGGACAGCAGTCCTTCTCCACAGACAATCTTAAGGGAGTATGACTCCCTCTCATTCCCCTGCACAACCCTAGAAGCTCTATATTTTACAGTCCCACAAAACCTCAGTGCTTTCTCCCTGCCAGTTTAACCCCAAAGCAGTATCACACAGTGAAGCTGAATGATGCTAGAAGTTCATGTATCCTCAAATAGGCAGATGACATCCAATTATGCCTCTGTCTCTACTCAAATGAAGGGTTTCAAGGAAAGCAAGGCACAGTCTCCATTTTCTGTCCCCACTTGGCAGTAGATAAAAGGAATAACGATGCCAACTGTAACTCCAAAGCATGAGAAAGTGTTATGCTCAAATTTCAAGCAGAAAATTTCATGATGAAACCAGCAACAAATTTCTCTCCCTCTATCTCCTGCTGCCTCCTGGGACAATGGAGTTTGTCAGACATTGAGGCATCTGATCTTGTCCCACAACACTGCCAAAAGAAAGCCCATTAGTCTCCTCTGCTGCCTGCCACATGGCTGTGTGGCTGTTGCAAGATTACTCCTTGAAAGAGTAACATGGGGTTGAGCCTGAGGGTTACTGAGGCTCAACTCACTAGAGCATGTGATCCTCACTAGTGAAATGTGTACCTCTACCTTCCAACTACAAATGTTAAATGATACTTTAAACCAGAATTTTAAAACATGGAGAAGGTGATTTTCCAGACCTGACCTTCAGCTTCTCAAACCCTGAGGCTACAAAGTATCCTTTACAATGATGAGGTGTAAAGCATTTGGTTTTTCTTGCACATACAAGCAGAAATATTTTAAAACAAAAAGAAATTCCCTCAAGCCAAATGCTTCAAGTTTTCCAAAACTGTGATTACCCATGAGGATTATTTTTTTAGGCTTCTTTTAGGTGTAAATGTGCTGATGAGTGGGTGACTTACTTTTTTTTTTTTTAAACCTACCTAATTTATGTCATGCATTTAATAGAGAAATAAAAGCCTATTCATGTATTATACACAGGTTACAGAGAAACAGCATCAAAGCCTCCATGCAAAAGTAATTTCAATTGCAAACCTGCATCATGGAAAAAGAAGGGGAAGAAGGAAGGGGAAGAAGGAAGGGGGAAGAGAAGGAGAAGAGGAAGGGGAAGGGAAAGTGGGAAGGAGAAGAGGAAGGGGAAGGGGAAGGGGAAGGGGGAAGGAGAAGAGGAAGGGAATCACAGTAAGAAAAAAACACTTGTTTGTGGGTTTTTGGTGTTTTGTGTTTTGTGTGTTGTTTTTTTGTGTGTGTGTGTGTGTGTGTGTTTTGTTGTTGTTTTTGTTTGTTTGTTTGTTTTTTATAGATATATTTACTTTTGCTGCCTTCATATTTCTAAAATATATCATCAATCTCCCAGTATATATTACTGCTATTTATATTAAAGGAATATAGAGTTTTTTTATTATGGGCTATGATGGTTCTTCCACTTCTGGGTACTCACTTCAACATGTCACATTCCATCACACACAGAAAATACTTTTATATACCTATAGTACAAAATTGTCCATCCACAATATTGGCTGTTTTCACTAATGTTTGGACAAATCCAGACAATACTTGTGTATATGTAATAACCCAGCATCATACTTTTACCTTTTGGTTAGACTGTGGTTAGTTTTGCATTTAGAAAAAGAGCAAACTGAGCTATTTGCAGCTTATTTCAGAGATATTTCTTATGAGAAATGAAATCATAGAAAAAGATCATAGATGATCTTTTAGGTTGGAGAAGACCTCTAAGATCATCTAGTCCAAGATACAGCACGATTTGATGGCAGGAGTCATTCTTACTTTTTAAATGATAGTATGAGGAAGCGTGTTGCACTCATTTGTCTCACCCTGATAAAATTCATAAAACAACAGAAGTTTACAACATTTACTAGCACAGCATAATTGATTAGAAGGATAACTCCACAAAAATACAAAGAGCCTTTGGCCTAAACAGTGTGGAATGGCAAAGTCTGGTTTTGATTTTCTCTTGAATTCTTATTTTTACAAAACCCTTGAAAGGACTATTTGCATGAAATCACTGAGATATCTCTGTTTCTCAAAAAAAAAAAAAATGTCTCTAGCAAGATATTTTTGAACAATGCGTTCAAAAACTGCTCAGAGCTGATATGCTTTTATAAAAAATGAACATATTAAATGAACATATTTACATTTTACAATGTACAAATAATATTAAACTAAAGGACAAAAGAAGCTGGTAGCATAGGTCACAATCTTTAGAGGTATAGCAATTGTGTTTCTCTGAAACAAAATATTAATTGTAGTATTTGAAGACTTTTATAAAAGTAAAGTTATTTGGTGATCTTGTCTCCTTACTCCTTTTCCTATCACCATTTGCAAACTTCAAAAAGCCATACACTAAACAAAAAATTCCTTAGATTAAATGAATCTTAATGAAAATACAATTGAGACATTGCCAGTTTAAAAGACCTAAAGTAATCACAGCTTGTCCTCATTATATGTACCTATGAGTGCAAAATAGGTTGCTGATCAATTATGCTCTCTTTAACTATTAACAGTAGTATCTTTGTTCTCAAACAATGTTAGATTGCACATGTTCTGGAACTTATATTTACCTGGTGGATTCTTGGCAGGATCATTGTGGCTTGGACTTCCTGGTTGTCCAGAATCTATAAAGAAATCAAAGAAATGTTTTACTAATTTGTTTTGAAAGTATCTCACATCCTTTTAATACTCTCCTTCAGTATTAAACTAATACTTAACTTTGTTATCTAAAGGTCATTTCCCTGACTTTCTACATGAAGGCATTAGAGAACAAACATACTATATGTAACCCATTTTATGCAGAACCAGAAACATTGTGAAAGATGCAATAACTCATAGATCACTGAACAAGGACAAGAGAGTCATTCAGGTAAATATTCAGGGTGTAAACACATCTACAAGGGCACCTTTTCATTCCCTTTCACTCCATCCCCCAATTATAATATTGCATAATCAGGAAAGCAGAGGTAGCTTCTTCTCAGGCAATGACCAGAAATATATACTGGATCAGGCAACTAATGGAGTTTGCAGTGATGAATCCTGCTTCTTTACTTTTCCCTAAAAACACAGAGGTGTACGGTGCTTCCACAGACTCAGAACTGCACTGAAGTTATGACTGTCTGTTTTAATACAGTATAGCCTTTGTATTCTTAGTTTGTAAGAACTGCTATTGTGAAATAAAGATTATATAACATAAAAACTAAAAAAAAAAATCAAGCCCTGTGGTCTTTAAATAGTGTTTTCTCAATACATGTACCTAATGAATCAAGAGAAGAATGAGATTTGAAGTCAATGCACTGGAAAATAAATGTCATCCTTATTCATAAAAGCATTTGCTTTTGAAACTATCTTCTTGCTCTATCCCCACACCAATAATAAAACAAAATCCTGCATCACTGCAATAAATTATTATTAACAAAGTAAGACATGACAGACACTCTTGTACCCAAAGAGAGTAAGAAGTTGTAGGAAGCACAACCATTTGTTCTGTATATGGTTACCTAAAATGTAGCAGCCTCAATAAATGAAAGAAAGTGAGGAAGAGAGGAAGGAAGAAAGGAAGAGAGGAGGAGAGGATGGAAGAGAGGAAGGGAGGAAAGGAGGGAGAAAGAGAGGAAGGGAGGGAGAAAGAGAGGAAGGGAGGGAGGGAGGGAGGGAGGGAGGGAGGGAGGGAGGGAGGAAGGAAGGAAGGAAGGAAGGAAGGAAGGAAGGAAGGAAGGAAGGAAGGAAGGAAGGAAGGAAGGAAGGAAGGAAGGAAGGAAGGAAGGAAGGAAGGAAGGCAAAGAAAATGTCCATTACTTGGAAGTGCAGCAGCACTTATAGCATAGGGCCGTCAAAGGACTGTTACTTAGTACTACAGAAATTGCCACTGCCAACTGAATCCCAGAGCGAAGTCAGAGTTCTTGAATGTATTACTGCTTACAACGTCAAATTAAAGAGAAACAGACAAACAAACAAAACACACACAAAGAGAAAGCAAGGAATTTACACATCAACAAATACTAATCCTTCAATTCCAATCACATCTTAAAGCCAACATAGCCTTCAACCTAGAATGAAAGATTCTGTCCGATGTCCACTGCTGACTAAAATCTGTTACCTTCGGTTATGTGACTTAGGAAACACTGCTTGACACACCTGCCTTTCAAGCAGTTTAGGTGAAGGCAAGCTTGATTATATAGATGGTATTAGCAGAAAGACAAATGCATTTCATAGTTCAAGTTCAGAATATGGGAAGTTCTGAAAGAAACTGCACCTCTGCAGCCTGTAACTTTTTCACCCAAACTATCTTCAGTTAAAACTTCATCAGACAAGACAAGCATTGGGTATCTACCAGAGATAGATACCTAAAGATAGATACTGGAAGATGAAGGCATGTGTGAAACCTAGTTCCAAAGCTACTAAAAATGCAAATAAATTTTGCAGTGTTGGATGAAATCATTCCTGCATGCAATAAAATCCACACTGGAAAGCAAATTTCACAAATTTCCTTCATCTTCTTCAACCCAGCGTAGGAAGAAAAAAGGACACATTCCTGATCAGATTGTGTACAGCCAAGATTTTGGGAACTTGTACACTTGCACCCATTGTACAACACCAGGACTCCTGAAATTCTTATCACCATAGCTGGTCAGGGTCACTTTCCAAAATTTTCCTAAGAAATCTGCTGGACATTGTATCCATCACTGAAAGGGGTTTAAGGAAAATCTTGTCACTGAAATGGCCACCTAACTTGATTTTCTGTGTATTGCTATATGTACTGTGAAAAGTCTGAAACTATTTTCAAAAGTGATACGATGTCACAAAAAGTATCAAAGTTACTCTTGTTTTTTCAATTTTTTTTTTCAATTTTTCTATGCCTAATCCTTATCCTGCTGGAGTGGACAGATAATGTAAATTCATGTTCAGTTCTCAATTTTAAATTGAATTTATTAGATCTAATTCCTTGCAATTGTTCCTAAACAAATTGGTTTATTTGGTGTTAGGATGGTATTTGCATTTTTATACTAGGCAGAAGTCAATGCTTCTGTAAAATCCCAAATAGATTGTAATGAAGAGTATTTCAATACAGATTAATTTAAGAGAGTACGGTTTGAATTAATACAGCATAAATAACTGTCCTGAATATACCAACAGAATGCATATAGTTCTTCATAGGTAACAAAAACCACTTTCCATCAATTAACAGCAAATGCAATATATCTTTTGTGGCTATATTCTTGAGGTTTTCTTGTGGTTTGCTGTGCTAGGAATATCTTCTAAAATGCCAGAAATTTTCTGGGGGGGGGGGGAAAAAAAAAGCCCTCACTATGTAGTGCACACTTTTCATAACAAGATGCAGCACATCTCTTCAAAAAGTATATTAGGTTAATGTGAAAACTTGATCAACTATAAGAAATGTTTAAAATGTGATGCTTTTCTGAATGTGGACCTTTATAAATGACTTTTCTTGTGTTGCAATGGAAATAAAAGCTTTACCTTCAAGAGGGTGAACTTTAATATGCTTCAAAGAGGCATGTTCTGCTTCTGCAAACCATACAAATCATTATTTAAATTAGGATTATCAAAGAGGATTAATTTTACATAGCAATGGTCCACAGTAATTGTCCAAGTGCAGGTGTTTGGCTAAATGAAATGTCAGTTTGAATGCAGGTGCACCCAATAAAACTTGGACAACATAGCTTGGGGTGTACAGAAATTTGAAAGTAGATTAATGAGGCCTACTTGAAAATAACCTTCAAAGATTTCTCCTGCTAAAATTCACTGAAAAGCTGAACAAAATTAAGAATATTTTTTAGCTCTTGCAGAGCAACTTACCTTCAGTCCTGTTTTCTCATTGTCAATATGGCCACTTTCTGGACCAACAAACCAAGTGTTAAAGTCATTTAAAAAATTCCTTTTTATATTATAATACGAGAAATTTAGCAAGGAATTTTCCAGTTACAGGGAAAAGCTGATAGCTAATTATTATAATTTGCCAGTCAGACTTAGCTGTGTTTTATGTTAAGTTCTGATCAATCGTAATTTTTAGTTTGATTTTCTCAAAGCTGTTTGAGCAGTAGATGCTGCTAACATGTTTGCCACTGGGGTTTCAATGATCTGGAGAAAGCAATGAATTTTTGTGTGCTGAATATGAAAATCAACCTATGTTCACTGAAAGCTCATGGAAGCATCATTTTCAGGATGAAAGAGAGACCCAAGGTGGCCTGTGATGATCCAATTCTCTTACCAGTGTCAGTAATTATAAAGCACTCTTTTTTTTTTATTTGATTGGATGCAAATAGCTTTACAAAGAACAAGAGAACCATGATCATTACATGAATAAATTATAGGAATAACTTAATTTATAAGCAGAACACTGAATGAAGAGAGATTGGAGTACTGTTCTTCTAAAGTAAGTAACAAGATGCATTGTAGGAAAGCCACAGAATGCAAGGAAGCAAAAGACATGCTAAGACACTTTAAATCTTTCTTTGTCTTCCTATGTACAAGGTCGTAAATTTGTTTAACAGTACGAGCCCTTAGGTTTAAAAATTGCATGCTTTTCTTCCAGTGCAATAGAGAAAAACATAAACCAGACTCCCTGTCTAGGTGGCTTTTCATTCAATTTTCCTACCAAAAATATTCTGTGCACAAAGACTTCCTAAGCTAGTTATAAGCAAATCTATACAACCAATAGCAAATAAAAGCCCATCATGTAAATGTCATGAAACTGAAATTTTCAACATTTTATTTAGGTTACTCCCAACTGAAAGTTGCCTTAGTTTATTTCTTATCTTTCTTTCTTACCTTCTTTCCTTCTTTCTTTGTCTCACTCTTACCCTCTTTTTTTTCTTTTTTCCTTCTTTCTTTCAGTTATTCTCTCCTTTCTTTCTCTCTCTTATTCCTCTCTCTTGCTCTTTCTTTTGTTTTTCTTTTCCTTCCTTTCTTCCTTCCTTCCTTCCCTCTTTCTCTCTCTTTCTTTCTCTTTCTTTTCCATCTTTCTTTCTTCCTTGCTCTCTTTTATCTTTCTTTCTTTTTCTTTTCTTTTTTTTCCTCCTTCTCTCTCTTTTTCTTCAAAGTTTTTAAAATTTCCTTCTTTTGAGACATTTGAGAAATGCCTTTCTCAAATTTTACTGTAAATGTGTTTTTCATGGAAAAAAATCTTCCACACAGGTCTCAAAATTATTTGCTACAGAGCAAAAGCTCTCCTACAGATATGTTGTGCATTTCCAAATAACAGATTTCATATGCACCTCACAACTACAGTATATCTACTGCTGTTCTCTTCCTGTCACTAACTGTTCCAAGAGTCAGTAGTTGATGCCTTGATCAGTTATTGCCCTGTGGATTAATGGTCTGACACTGGTTCAACCCAGGTTTTGCTCTTATCTGGCAACTATTTATATAACCATAACACTGATATACTGAATATAATCTGTTGTGACTCAGCATGGGTACCACAATGACATTTAAATGCTTTATCTCAGTTTACTTTTTCCTTCCAGACAACAGTATGAAAAGATGGGTCAAGAATGTGGTGTATTTTACACTTTGCAGTTTCCCATATTTTCATTTGTAGGAGTTAATCCCAATGAGTATCTACGTGTAGTTGCTGGCATCTCCCACCACACCCAAAGTAAAA